GCATTCCCTTCTCCAGTCTCCTTGAGGTCTCAGGTGCATGCATGCGTGCACACACACACACACACTCGGGATTTGGGGTTCACACCCAGAAGCACATGTGACCAGTGTGATTTCCAAGTCTCTGAGTCTAGGCCTCAGAAGTGCAACCCACCATACAGGATCCAGCACCTTAGTCCCCACACCACCTGCAGGTCCCCATCCAGGTTTAGTTTTTAATGTGACTGTACTATCAAATAAATTTGAAATTTTATAACTCTGATGTTAGTTAAATTAACTAATATAGACACTATAAAATAGTATATAAGCATTAAAAATAACGATTTACATAGTACAGAGTTTTCTGGGGTTTTTTAGAAAGGTTTTTGCTACAAGGTGCGAGCACTCGCCAAGAGAAAGAGACAGAAAGCAACCCAGCATGAGTTTTAAGCCACCAGGTTCAGGACTTGAACAGCGGTCGACTACGTGGGAGTTCAGCAACATAACCATTATGCCATCTGCTGGTCCCATAGTAAACAGTGTTTTAATATATCATAGAAATGTCCCTAGATTTTAAAAAGGTCACAACATAACACTTATAATACTGTATTCATATAAAATTTGTACACGTCTATGCTGAAATAAACTTCATATGGGCAAATATCAAGGCTGGGCCCTTGATGATCAAGTGCTATTCATTAGGAGCTAGATCCCACAAAGCCAAATGCAGTTCAAATCCTGGCCATCCTGGCAGGCACACGCGCTTATGTGGCCAAATCCTGACAGGGTAGAGAAAAAGGAAGAAGGATTGTGGGCAATCGTGCCCCATGGGGGTGGGGAGTTCTCTCCCTCTCTAGCAAGCTCGTACACCCGACAGCAGTTGTTTTTTAAATTTCTTATATTTAAAAAAATGTGAAAACGAGAAACTGCAAAACATTAATAAAATAAAGAAGTTAAAGTTACTGAGTAGAGGGGGATATCTGGAGTAAATTTGGCTTTCCTGTATTTTCTCTTATTATTATACTTATGACCAGAAAAAGGAAGGTTTTTTTGTTTGTTTTTCTTTTCTAATTTGCTAGAAGGCATATGCACTCGCCAGAGATACGCAGAGAGAGAAGTAAGAATGCACCCCCTGGGGGGGACCAGCAGGTGACATAGAGGTTAAGGTGCTGGATTCCCACATAGTCAACGAATGTTCGAGTCTCGGACCTGGCAGCTTGCTTTCTCACTTTTCCTTTCTCTCCTTCTCTGTCTCTCTCTGGAAAAATTAAAAATAACAAAAACAAATAAAATTAAATAAATAATTCTTTATGGAAAAAAAAAAAAAAACAGCATCCCCTGGAGCCACAGATAGCATGGTAGTTAGCTGCTGGACTCTCACATAACCAACCTAGACCTAGCAGCTTGCTTCCTCACTTTCCTCCTCTTTGGTGAGTGCAAGTACCCCATAAAAAATTTTAAAATAATAAATGAAATAAAATAAATAGCAATTTTAAAAAGAAAGAAAGCATCCCCTATGGGGGATGGTCATGCTGCAATCCCTTCTCTTTCATTTCTCATTTCAAGAATTTGGGCATTCATGCACACACACTCAGTAATGTTTTTCAAGCTGCCAGGTCTGGGACTTGAACCATGCATTCGGCCATGTGAGATCCAGCCAACTTAACCACCATGTCACTGGCTAGCCTGAGAAGCTACTTTTACAGCTAAAAGAGTATGTCTGGATCTTTAACATACAAAACACATAAAGTAACCAGAGTCTACAAGTACCCAGAACAGAGCATCTGCATGTCTGAGCTGGGCAGCAGTAACAGAATAGTAAGGCAATCCACAGAAATCTCCAGTTAGATTTACTTCAGAGACACTGATCATGTCTGACTCCTCCCTTACTCTCAGCAGGACTCAGGAGCACACAGAAGTTTGGAAAAGTGTATTACTCTCGTTGTAATTTATGCTAACGTAAGAATACAGTATGCTAATAATGAAGCAGTTACTTTAAAATTCTCCCTTAAGACAGGATTTTCTTAAAGAATTATTTTACCTCATTTATCATTATTTTTTATTTTGACTAGCAAGAGAGAGGGAATGGCTACACCAAAATCCCTTCTCCTCTCTTCCCTCGGGATTTGGGGAACACACGCACGCACGTGTTTTAAGCTGCCAGGGCCAGGACTTAAACCAAGATCGACAACGGAGAGTCCAGCGACAGACCCATTACGCCATCTGCTGGTCCCAAGACAGGTTTTTTTCCTAAAGAAGGCAAATCAAACTCACAGGTTTCAGAAAGGTTCTAAAAGTCTTGTGCATGTGTGTGTGTGTGTGTGTGTGTGTGTGTTTTCAACATCTTTCCAAACTTTTTACATTTTGCTATAGGGTACAAGTGCTTGCCAGAGAGGGAGGGGGGGAGGGAGCACACACACGCACCAGGATGGTTTTCAAATCACAGGTCCAGGACTCCAACCACACGGTGCACCATGGGGGATCTAGCCTCCTTAACCTCTACACCACCTGCTGGTCTCTGAAAGTCTTTTAACAGTAAGTGTATTTAAAATTGTTATTCCTGAGGCCAGCAGGTGGCACAGTGGTTGGGGCTCTGGACTCCCACATGGCTGGTCACGTTTCAAGTACTGGACCTGGTGGCTTTCTATGGCTTGCTTTCTTACTTTTCCTTTCTCTCTCTGTCTCTCTCTAGTCAAATAAGAAAAACAATAAAGTAAATAATTCTTCAAAAATAAAGATTTTAATTGCTGGAGCCTGAACCTGTTGCTCACATCTTGGAAGACACAAAGTAGCCCTAATGTGACGTGGCTAGCACCTAACGCCAGGAACCTGAGCCAGAGACCCAGAATAAGGAACAGACGTCCCGTATGGCTGATAAGATGGTGTGTCACGGGCTAGCCTGAGAAGCTACTTTTACAGCTAAAAGAGTATGTCTGGATCTTTAACATACAAAACACATAAAGTAACCAGAGTCTACAAGTACCCAGAACAGAGCATCTGCATGTCTGAGCTGGGCAGCAGTAACAGAATAGTAAGGCAATCCACAGAAATCTCCAGTTAGATTTACTTCAGAGACACTGATCATGTCTGACTCCTCCCTTACTCTCAGCAGGACTCAGGAGCACACAGAAGTTTGGAAAAGTGTATTACTCTCGTTGTAATTTATGCTAACGTAAGAATACAGTATGCTAATAATGAAGCAGTTACTTTAAAATTCTCCCTTAAGACAGGATTTTCTTAAAGAATTATTTTACCTCATTTATCATTATTTTTTATTTTGACTAGCAAGAGAGAGGGAATGGCTACACCAAAATCCCTTCTCCTCTCTTCCCTCGGGATTTGGGGAACACACGCACGCACGTGTTTTAAGCTGCCAGGGCCAGGACTTAAACCAAGATCGACAACGGAGAGTCCAGCGACAGACCCATTACGCCATCTGCTGGTCCCAAGACAGGTTTTTTTCCTAAAGAAGGCAAATCAAACTCACAGGTTTCAGAAAGGTTCTAAAAGTCTTGTGCATGTGTGTGTGTGTGTGTGTGTGTGTGTGTTTTCAACATCTTTCCAAACTTTTTACATTTTGCTATAGGGTACAAGTGCTTGCCAGAGAGGGAGGGGGGGAGGGAGCACACACACGCACCAGGATGGTTTTCAAATCACAGGTCCAGGACTCCAACCACACGGTGCACCATGGGGGATCTAGCCTCCTTAACCTCTACACCACCTGCTGGTCTCTGAAAGTCTTTTAACAGTAAGTGTATTTAAAATTGTTATTCCTGAGGCCAGCAGGTGGCACAGTGGTTGGGGCTCTGGACTCCCACATGGCTGGTCACGTTTCAAGTACTGGACCTGGTGGCTTTCTATGGCTTGCTTTCTTACTTTTCCTTTCTCTCTCTGTCTCTCTCTAGTCAAATAAGAAAAACAATAAAGTAAATAATTCTTCAAAAATAAAGATTTTAATTGCTGGAGCCTGAACCTGTTGCTCACATCTTGGAAGACACAAAGTAGCCCTAATGTGACGTGGCTAGCACCTAACGCCAGGAACCTGAGCCAGAGACCCAGAATAAGGAACAGACGTCCCGTATGGCTGATAAGATGGTGCAAAGACCAGCGACTATAACGTCTGGTCAGCTCGTTAACTTTCTAGAAGTAAGCATCGCACCAAGTTGCCTTTCCTCCGCCTTAAAGCAAAAAATGAAAGAACCAAAAGAAGCTATGAATGCACCTTGAAGTTAAAATCTGATGAACGGCAACAGAAAGGACAGTTACTCACTGTTAGTACTTAATTTCTACACCATCAATATTAACTTTCTGAAAGAAATTTCTGTTCAGTACTGACAACGCATTTACCTTGTGAATATTTAAAGATGGGCTTTTTGACGTTATGACAAATCTCATGGCATACCTTAAAGTACACAGTTTACGTAAGTTACGTAAAATGCATGTTACATATGTAACAATCACAGTCTCAAAGGAGTTGAAAAAGATATAATAAATGTGGGGAAAAGACAACAGATGAGAAGCTGGGAAAGAAACAAGCAAGAACAGGGAGCAGGCAGACATCGCCTCGTGGAGACCTTAGGGCACGAGCCCAGGGCTGGAAAGGCTCGGGGACGGGAAACAGCAGACAGGAAAATGAACAGTACGAAGAAAGCTAAATGGACCAGCAGGTGGCGTGGTTAAGGCACTGGACCCCACGGCCAACCACAGGGGTGTGAGTCTCAGGCCTGGTGGCCTGAAAAACACGCCATGTGCCTGTGCATGCGTGCCCAGACTTTTGAGACAGACTGCAGCGTGGCCATCTCCCTGGGGGCTGATTACTCACTTTCCCTCCCTCCCTCCCTCCCTCTGTCTCTCTGTCTCTCTGTTCTCTGTTTCTCTCTCCAGCAAGTACAAGCAAAAATCTTACCAAAAAAAAAAAAAAAAAGGAACCTAAATGAACGAAGAAGGGGGAAAAAAATCTAAGAAAAAAACTCATTTCATTTATGAACTCAGCCCAAAAAGGTAAACATACACATAAAACTCACCTGGTTTTCCTCCTGCACAACTCTATACTGTTCCTTCCAGACGGTGATCTTGGAAGCTTCGTCCTTCCTCAGGGCTCGTTCTTTCTTCAGCTCGGGGCTCCAGAAGGTCTTGATGCTATTCATTGACGAGCTCAGTTTGCTCTCCTTTACTTCCACATCCTTCCGCAAGAGGTCGTTCTCCCTTAACACCTCCTTCAGCTGCGTCTGCAGGTCCATGATTGTGTTATCTCTTGCCTGACGGAGAGAGTGAGGTACAGTCGATGCCATGCTCACGGGAGGAAGGTGATGCTCCCCAAATGCTATGGTGTCACTGGCAACCCCACTGCTGGCTATGTTGGGGCTACTGCCCATGGCAGTCATCCTTACACCGTAAGGCAGACGTCCCCCAGAGCGGCCAAGCGTCATGGTGCTTTTTGGTGTTTCAGAACCCACATTTTCATGGTCACTTAGGTACATAGGGCCAGACGTGGCATAGGCAGCATTTAAGGACTGTATATTCTCCATTGAGAGGGTTTTTCCACCACCACCTCCAACACTGCTTCCAGAGCTCCCTCCTGTGCTATTGGTTCGACGATGGCCCAAGCGAGGGGACCGTGGAAGCCGAGGTGAACGCCCAGGGCTCTGGTTGCTAGGTTCCACCTTCCCAACTGAGCGAGCACTGCCATACATGGTTGCAACTTCGGTGCCAGGAAACGGTATAAAGCAGAAAAAAAATGGAACTCCGTGAGGTCTGTCGATGGCTATAAGTCAGCTTAAGGCTAATCAGAAGTAACAGGTCCTTGTGTTCAATCTTGGAGAAATATCTTAGGCCATATCTGTAATAGAAAGATAACACATTAAATCCTCCCAATAGTATTTCCCATCTCAGAAACTTAGTATTACCCTCACTTGAAAAAGACCCCCTTTCTATCATCTATTTACTCATGCATTCGACATGTGATTACACCACAATGCATCTCACAGTGAACACCATTTTAAAAATATCTTACATCTTACAACTGAATAATGAAAACATAAAAGAGAAAAAAAGAAACAAAAAGGTATAAACATTGACAATGAAGAGATAAAACTCAATGTCTGAATACATGATTTTTTCTAACTGAAAATTCAAGATTATCAACTAACAAATTAGAACTAATCAAGAAACTGAGGTTTGTCAGACACAAGATCAATATATAAATATCAATACCTTCATGTACATGGGTAAGAGCAATTACAATATCCCATTTTTAATTATAAAAATTGCTAAATCCTTGGGTCGCCTGGTGGCACAATGGTTAAGGTAGCTGGATCAGTCAACTGCGCAGTGAGTCTTGGACCCAGAGACCTTGAGAAACACCAGTCGCATGTGCATGCATGCCCGAAATCCCAAACAGAGAAGTGGAGAAGGGACAGCAGTACGGCCATCTACTACGGGGGCTGCTTTCTCATTTTCTTCCCCTCTCTCCCCCCACCCATTCCCCTGCAAGTATATGCACCCTCTAGGAAACAAAACAAACAAACAAAATAGGAACCAGCAGATGGTGTAATGGTTATGTCGCTGGACTCCCACGTAGCTGACCGCAGGTTCAAGTCCTGGACCCGGTGACTTATAACTCACGCCAAGGACATGTGCATGCGTACCCAAAATCTCAAGAGGAAAATGGAAGAGAAAAGATTGCTGCGTGGCCATTCCCCCAGGGGACGATTTCCTGCTCTCTGTCTCTCTGTCCCTCTCTGTCTCTCCGGGGAGCATACACGCCGTATAGCACCAAAAATAAATGAATAAATAAATAAAAAGATAAATTAAGATAGACCTAGCCTAGATTTCTGCCATTTCCTAACATCATCCTTCCGAAGAATTTGTTTAGGTCAAGTACAACAGGGAACCAGCACTTAGCGTAATGGCTATGTCGCTGGATTCCCACGTAATCGACCGTGGTTCGCGTCCCAGACCCGGTGGCTTAGAACTCACGCCGGGCACGTGTGCATGCGTGCCCAAAATTCCAAGAGGAGAATGGAGGAAAAGGGATTGCAGCGTGACCACCCCTCCTGGGGGGTGATTTCTTACTTTCTATCTCTATGTCTCTCTCTGTCTGGCGAGCGCATGTGCCCTATAGCGAAAAAAACTCTCAAAAAAAAAAAAGTACAACAGACGTGTTACACAACACTTTCTGAACACCCACTGTGGTGTGTGATTCTTGTGCTTCTTCATGAAAATGCAGTCCAAGTCAGTCATATGGTCAAAAACAAGACTTTCAGTGACTCTGTGGTGTAGTCAAACTCAAACAGGCGAAAAATCTTAAACAGTGCAGTCTCCACCTCTACACCGGTAAGCCAGTCAAGATGGACCTGAACCTTGAAGGAAAGACTCCACCTCCTGCCCCATCTCATAAGTGGCAATGGAACCTCAAGCTCGGAAACTGCGATGTTCTGCTAGTGTAAACCATGCCCAGAAATCCATTTCCAGGACTAACCCCACTCGTTAAGTGAAAACCATTTTTCGGGATTCATCTGCACTGTACAGCAGATAACAAGGAAGGCACTCCATTATTACTGTTCAGGATTAATTCTACCTCAGGATGAAAGAAAGTGATTTTTCTTCTAATTAATATAAATACTGCTTAAATTAAGTGAGCCATTCATTATCTGGAATCCTCTGAATGACAACAAAAGCTAATGCTGGGTTTTACCATGTGCCAGGCTTTACGTTAAAAGTTTTGTAAGCTTTAATATTTATATCAAATGTAAATATAGAAATACTACGTAATATTCATTTATGTCATACTTCATATTAATAAGGGACACAGGTCCTGTCAACTCCATTTTAAAGATGAACAAAGATGAGGTTCCTAGGGGCTTCCTGACTCATCCCAGCCACACCACTACTAAGGAGCAGGGTCAAGACTAGCCGAGGCGGCCTAACTCCAAATCTCTGGAGCTCTTGGCTCTTGTGCCTGACCACCGTCATCTGCTAATGCTCACGTCCAGTCGTCCACTGGCGCCCAAGGCTCTCGCAGTTTTACGACAGTGTGTCCTGCTAATCTAGTACTAGAAATCCCAAATTTAGGACACATATTCAGTTTTCCCAGATGTAAAACCTCCTGTAATTACATTCCTCTTTCTATTAATTAGGAGAAAATCTTTTTTAAAAAGGTAGTATGCTTGGGGCTGGCAGATGGCGTGGTGGTTTAGGGCGCTGGACTCCCACATGGCCAACCATGGTTTGAGTCCCAGACCTGGCGGCTTGCTTTCTCACTTTCCTTCTCTTTCTCTCCAGCTCTGTCCCTCTCCTGTCAAATATAAATAAATAAATAAAGTTAAATATAATAATTCTTAAAAAAAAATAGTAGGCTAAGGAACAAAATAAGTAAACACAAAATAAAAATAATCAGAAATTCAGCCTCCGAGTCCTGACACTAGAACATTAAACTGCCCATTCAGAAAAAAAGAACTACTCAGTGAGTTTTATGCAGACTTCACCAAATCACAGTAAGTAGGCTGAAATTCAAGACTAAAATTCACATCAAGGTTTCAACATGAACAGGTACACTAAATATTCAAGTCACCTTCAGATCTAAAAAGGCAGTGGCACGTAAAGTCTCTGTTATTATCAGAACTATAATCGCTTATATTTTTTTAAAAGTGTTTAATTTATTATTGTTATAATTATTATAATTCACCAGAGTGTCAGAGAAAGAAAGCGAAAAAGTAGGCTGCCAGGTCTGGGACTCACACCGCGCGGCCACACAGGAGTCCGGCATCTCCATGGCCACACCCCCTGCTGGTCCCCATATTCACTCATGGAACAAAGGCAGGAAATTCATGGGTACTGTGGAAGCCTCCTCAGCTTTTAATCTCCTCAACTTCAGGGAAGACTTGTGTTTGTTTTCTACCTTGCCAAAGGGTGCACGCATGTGTGAGAGAGGCAAAGAGAAAGCACTCCCCATGAGGAGTGATCATGCTGCAATTCCTCCTCCATCTCCCCCATACTTAAGGATCTTGAGCACATATCCACTATGCTTTTCTGAGCCTCTAGGGCCAGAATTCTAACTGCAGTTGGCTCTGTGGGATCCTGCACCCTTCAACGGCCATGCCCCCAAGCTAGCCCCAGAAAATTATGTTTTAATTCCTGGACCAGCAGGTGGTGTGGTAGTTAGGGTGCTGGCCTCCCACACAGCTTTCCCACTCTCTCTCTCTGGTGAGCACACATGCCCAATAACAAATTAAAAATAATAAATTTGTAAAACTGAAAATAAATTCATTTAAAAAATATGGCAGACAACCACAAAATAATAATTCTTGCCCTTTAGACATTTGGTCAAAAGATTTTGACTGGTAATAGGTCATACAGTCTGACTCCATTAACATAAGAGGCTAGAACTAATTTATTATGACAGAAAACAAGTAAGTACATGTCTGGGGACAGCACAGAGGAGCAGAGAGAATTGTGAAGGTGATAAAAATGTTTTTTATCTTGTTTGGGGTGATGGTTTCACAGGTCAAAATTCAGGAAACTACATACTTTAAATATGTGCGATGTGTTGTACATAAATTATGTCATAAAAGTTTGAAAAAAAATAACTTCGCATATTCCAAACTGCCTTGCCCTGGATTAATAAAAAAAAAAAAAAACACCTTTATTGATTATATTTCTGGAATTCTGATTGCTGCTTAAAAAAACCATTCAGCTGTTCAGTTTGACTTCAACCTCAGCTGAGCCCACCATGTTCTTCCCAGAGTCTAAGGCCCTTAGTTTCTTATCCAGTATTTGTTACGGTGGTCACTTCAAACCTTTGTACTCTGCCTGTCACTGTCAGCAAATAACCTCCTATCATGGACTGAATTGTGTCCCCTCATGTACAAAATGCATACAGTGAAGTCCTAACACCCATAACTCAGAATGTGACTATATTTGTAGATACGGTCTTAAAGAGTTAATCCGGCAGGTGGCATGGTGGTTAAAGGAGCTGGATTCCCACATGGCCAATGGCAGTTCTAGTCCTGGACCTGGCAGCTTGCTTTCTCGCTTCCCCTTTCTCTCTCTCTCTCTCTCTCAGGTCAAATTTTAAAAAATAATAATAACAAACTGAATTAATTACATAAATAATTCTTTAAATGAGGTCTTTTTATTTTTTTTTAAGAGATTTTTTTTTTTGAGAGGATTTTCGCTATAGGGCGTGTGAGCTCACCAGACAGACAGAGAGAGACATAGAGACAGAAAGCGAGAAATCACCCCCCAGGGGGGATGGTCAAGCCGCAATCCCTTCTCCTCCGTTCTCCTCTCAGGATCTTGGGCACGCACGCGCCCAGCATGAGTTTTAAGCCACCGGGTCCGGGACGCAAACCACGGTCGACTACGTGGGAGTCCAGCGACATAGCCATTACGCTAACTGCTGGTTCCCGAGATTTTTACTGTAGGGCACATGTACTTACTAGAGACAGAAGGTGAGAAATCACCCCTCGGGAGGATGGCCACACCACAATCCCTTCTCCTCTGTTCTCCTCTCAGGATTTTGGGCCCACACTCACACACTTGGTGTGAGTTTAAGTCACTGGGTCCAGGACTCAAACTGTGGCTGAATACGTGGGAATCCAGCGGCAATATTACACCATCTGCTGGTCCCATAAATAAGGTAATTGAGGTAGGCCCTAATCCAGTATGACTGATGTCCTTATGAGAAAGAGATCAGACCAGACATACCCAAGGACCATGTGAAAATACCATAGGGGAACCAGCAGGTGGCATAGTGGTTAAGGTGTCAGACTCCCACATGGCTTACTGCAGTTTGAGTCCTGGACCTGGTGGTTTGAAACACACTGGGCACCTGT